TGGTGTTGAAGACGTTGTTCGAAAAAATTCAATCTAACCAAACTTGATTCCCTGTTAAACCCAGACGGAAATTCTTGGCATTATTACAGTGAAATGTGCGACTTCCCAAAAACACTTCGTTTGATCTCCATCGTAATTCCATTTTTTTGTATACATGCTTCTCGACGCAATCAAATGCCGAAGTGTTGTTTAAATTGTTTTACTATTTCGAAACACCTCTTCCACGCCAGCAAGTGCTGCGATGAATAGCGCGAGCATTTTGCAGTTGCAATCCTAGGAATATGGAAAGTTCAAATCTATTTCCCGTTCAGTTCTAAACTCAAAGTAGTTCTGTATTGCCTTAGTAACAAAGGTCTTCGCCATATACTCCACAAAATGGTTTTTCGCTTGAGCCGAAGCTCTTAACAATCTCTGCTGGAAAAACGAACTTATTTGTAAGCAGTAAGCACGTACTTCTAAGTCTATTATTAGTTTGTTCCATAGTTGACTTAACACCTTGTTTGCAGCTTTGAATTGCGTTGCATTGTCTGAAATAAACTGTTTTCGGTGAGCCTCTTACCGCTATGAATCTTCTGAAACAGTTCAAAAAGCTTGTAGTGATTATATCATGAACCACATCGAGATGAATAATTCTTGAGTTTAAGACATTTAATACAAGCTCAGTTTTATTTCCAGCACTATAAAATGCTGTGCGTTTCAATTTGAACTGCTTGTGCAAACTGTGCTGTTGCAGGCAATTTATATTCACTCCTCAGAGCAAATTGCTAGTGATAAGGTATTAAGCACACATCCCCATAAAGCTGATATAGCCACTTGGTGCTTAACAGTGATAAAATGAACAAAAAGAAAATCTAAGTTTTATTACGCAATTTTCATAAGCTTTTAATACAAATTTGGATATATCTGTACATCTAACATCGATTTTACGTTCGTAAGCATTCTTGAGTCATAAGGTAGTAGTAAAAAGGGTCATTGCATAACGATGTAGCTTGACTGCAGCTGATGGTTTCTGGTCTGCTAATAAGGTCTGCACATGAGCTTACACTCCCAGTGCATGCTGAAAAGTGCTCCTCGTTGACAAAAATATTCTCTTTTGAAACAATTAAATTCAACGTAGAACAGTCATTTTAATACTGTAAACAGCAAACGGGAAGCGGTATTGTCCAGAGAGGAACCAAAAGATTATCACTTACGAGTGCTGCTGTCTGGAAACGTCCACAAGTTTTTGGACATTGTTCAGTCATGTAATCGTATAAAAAACTGTATCACGGCACAGTGATGCACGCTGAGGACAATCAGTAGTTCCGTCAGAGACAGTTCTGTCTTGGCAGTCTGTGTTCGCCAAAATTTTTTGATACCGTTAGACATCCAAGTTCTTGTTTTAGAAAACTGATTGGCAAAAGTTTACGATCGTAGAGACGATAAATCTCTGAATATGTACAAAACGGATACGTACTAGCAGGTAGCACCTGGCGGACATGTATTATTACAAGTTTCTGGGCATTGGTCCGTCATACAATCGTAGTAAAATGGATCTTTGCAAAGAGCTGCATTTTGAGGACAGTCGCCGACACCGTTGTCTGTTCGATCAACGCAGTTGGCTAAAATGCTTCATATCAGACGTCTGATCTAGACGACGGCCGAATCGTGAAAAGTGACTTACATTGGGTGACAATGGTGGTAGTGTTAACCGAAACAGGCAAAATGACGCCCTGATAACTCGCATATCTCTGAGTACAGTCAATTGTCGACCATGTACCTGTCCCTTTTTTTATTTCCTAGATGATATGAAAATGGTGTAGAAGAACGAAGTATGTGTTTAGGAGGGAGTTAGTAAGAAATTAAATGGGAATAAGTTTTGGTATGTACATGCCTTTAAGGTAAGATACAGAATGAATATTAATATATCTATCATTTAAACCAAAGGGGTAAATTCTACCTAGATTTATGATCCGAAATCGTCCAATATTATCTAATAAGGAAGCATTAGGAGTAGTTTGTATAATTTGTGTATTAAAAGTATGGTTTAATTGCTCATAATAATGATATAAAGGAAGGTTTCTCTGATGACTGTTTAAATTGTATATATCTCAATTAAAACGTTTCTTAAGTTGTTGATTAGTTTACCCAACATATTCTATGTTTCAATTAATACAAGTAAGAAGATAAATACAATTTGTAGTACTACATGTAAGTTTGTAATTTGTTTTGTCTGTAGTGAAACTTAGATCTCCGCTTACAGTATCTAGTTTAAAGTATAATTCTTTGATCGGTTATACCAGACCGCTTTTATCTTTCTTACTGTAAACTTCTAATAATCAACCTACTGTATGGATAAGCCTACAGTTCCCACTCTTTAGGTTACAATTCCTTATTGTACCCATAGCTGAGGTAGAAAATCTATTCTAGTACAACTACAAAGGCAAATACAGCTAACGACGAGAGACACGAATTATGCAATGAAACTAATCAGAATCCAATAAATCATCAAAGGAATAATGGATAGATGGATAGAATCAAATGAATATGTTTAATAGGGAAATGAAAATGAACGAAAAAGAATGAATGTATAAATAAATTTTTCCTTGTCTTTGGTCGGTACGTTCAATTCGTTTGCTATTATAGTCTGTTGCTGCCACGCGGGTCTTGGAGTTTTTATAAGTTTATTTCACGAACACGGATAAGGATGAATAAAACGAACCTCAAACTTGGGTAATTAAACCTGGTAACAACGCACTTAAGTAGGCATTTTAAAACGGGTTATAAAAATATGGCATTTAGGAATACAAACAAAAATAAAGCATTAAAGATACAAGCAAGATCACGGTTAGAAACAGAAACACTGGAACGTAATAACTGTTAGTCGAGATGATTCTCCATCCTCTCCCTCCTTCTGCCGCCTGGGTTATATATCTGCGTCTTCTTGATCTAGGCGGAGTTGAGATCCTTCAGATCTCACCCCGCTAATCCATTCTTTGTCCCGCAGGCCGTCCCAGCTGGTCGGGTCTAACCCTCTCGCTCCCAGGCTTTGAAAACCTTGGCCTATACCATATTTTTGCTCCTCCCAGGCTTGGGAGTGTTCGCTGGCGGCGACACTCCCGCCTCCCGTTGGTTAAGCTGGGCCTCTGGGTCGCGAATATGGTACTTCATATATTCCAGGAACACTTTGTGTCCCTGGATCTCTTCGTTGTTGAGTCGTTGCTTTTTATTTTCGTTGAGCTCTGGAGGTATACAGATGCCTTGCCGGAAGGTGGCCACTACTTGCAGAAACTCGGCTCGCAGAGTCCTCATCAGATATGGGAGAGCAACAACTAACAACCTCAATTTCGACTACAAAGTAACAGAAAAATAGTA